TTGCAACTGCGAATGCACTCTGGACATGCTCAGAGGCACGGCGGTCACCATCCCCGGGGAAAAGGCTGACACTCCTCTCGCCGAGCGAAGGCGAGCGAGCGAGCGAGAGAAAGAGCGTCTCCAGGGGGCTCCTTCCCGGCCGCCTCCACTTACCTCTCCCCGGGAGAGCCCGCGCCTGCCCGGCCTTCTTCCCGGCCAAGAACCGGGGCAAACGGACGAGGGGGAGCCGCGCTGAGCAAACCATCTTTTCGCCGCTTCAGCAGCCCAAGCCAGTGGCGTGGATTTTAAGACCGGCGCGGCCCACCAATGGCAACGGAGCTGCCGTCGCCGCCTCTTGGAACAGCCGCTCCTGTGCTCCCCCCTGCAAGCCCCGAGTGTGACACCGAGGGGGCAAGTGGGGCCGAGGGGAGGAGCGTGGTGCCTCTCGGTGGGAGAAGCCCGGGCATCCAAGACAGTCTCTGTGCATGTGCAAAGCGTCCCTCTCCTTCCTATCCCCTGTGTGGGGGCCTCCTTCCACCCTTCTTCCCTTCTGACAATGAGAACCTGTTTATACTTTATACCTGTTTATACTTATATGTTTATATGTTATGTTCATACTTATACTTGTTTTCTCATACATGCTTGACAAAATAAATAAATATACACACACACATAAAATAATAAAATAAAATAAAATAAAATAATAATCAACCAATGGAACAGAAGTTGCCTTCAGAAGTTGTGGGAGCTTCATCACTGGAAATTTTCAAGAAGAGACTGGACTGCTACCTGTCAGAAATGGTGTAGGTCAGTGGTGGGATTCAACTTTTTTTACTACCCGTTCTGTGGGCATGGCTAGGGAAGGATATTATAAAATCTCCAGTCAGAGGTGGCATTTGCCGGTTCTCCGAAGTACTCAAAATTTCTGCTGCCGGTTCTCCAGAACTGGTCAGAGCCTGCTGAATAGCACCTCTGGTGTAGGTGTAGGGTCTCTTGCTTGGGGGGGGGGGGGGGGGTTGGACTAGATGATCTACAAGGGCCCTTCCAACTCCTAATCTGCTAATCTTCCCTACTGGATGCCTTCAATTGCCTTCCTGTAGCCTTCTCCTACTTCATCTCTTTCTTTGTCTTTCCCAACCAGTAGCCTTCTTATCTCTTTGCCAACAATTATACTGGGATGTCCCAAAAGTGTTTTTTTTTTTCAAGAGGCAACTGGACTTCCTGGTTTTCCCTTGGAGACGTTTCGCTTCTCATCCAAGAAGGTTCTTCAGCTCTAACTGGATGGTGGGGGGAATGGAAGGATTAATGGAATTTTTTCCATTCCCCATCATCCAGTCAGAGCTGAAGAAGCTTCTTGGATGAAAAGTGAAATGTTTGCAAAGAAGAAGAAAAATAAGAAACTCCAGTTGACTACTGAAAAAGCACCTTTGGGACAACCCTGGCCAGGATGACTGAGAATCTCCCTAGACTGGGCTGGTTTGGATTAAAACCGGATTCCTCCATTCATACAGTTCCTTTGACCTGAGGCACTGGAAGATGGGTAAAATTGGTAAAAATGGTAAAATGGGTAAAAATCCTTAAGGACTTGGCCAATTTTTCAGACAGGACCCGAGAAACGAGCTAAATGAGGCTGGCTGTCCAACCAAGTTGAATCCAGCCAGTAGGGCCCACAACTTCACTCTCCCAACCCTGGCAACTTTAAAACGTGTGGCTGACTGGGGAATTCTAGTAATTGAAGCTCACATATCTTAAAGTTGCCAAAGTTGGGAGCTATGAAGGAGCAAGGTCTGACAGAAAAAATAGGGGGAACTTGGATCACTCCTTCAAGCCATCCTTTTGACTTTTTTTAAAAAACACATTCTGAAGACAGCCCTTCATACAACCTGTTGTGCTAGTTTTTCCCCCTGAAGCAGAAAAACTTGGAATGCCATCAAAAACATCATCAAAAAAGCACAACAAAGAATGTTCTTTCTGCGCCAACTCAGAAAGCTCAAACTGCCCAAGTAGTTGCTGATTCAGTTCTACAGAGGAATTATTGAGTCTATCATCTGCACCTCTATTACTATCTGGTTTGGCTCTGCAACCCAACAGGACAGACACAGACTTCAGAGGACAATTAGGATTGCAGAAAAAAATAATTACTACCAACCTGCCTTCAATCGAGGACCTGTATACCACACAAGTTAAAAAGAGGGCTGTGAAAATATTTACAGAGCCTTCACATCCCGGACAAACTGTTTCAACTCCTTCCCTCAAAATGATGCTATAGAGCACTGCACATCAGAACAACTAGACACAAGGACAGTTTTTTCCCGAATGTGATCACTCTGCTAAGCAAATAATTCCCTCAACACTGTTCAACTATTTAGAAAATCTGCACTACTATTACTATAAATCTTCTTATCACTCCTTATCACCCATCCCCTCCCACTTGTGACTGTATGACTGTAACTTTGTCGCTTGTATCCTTACGATTTATATTGACTGTTTCCTAGTATGATTTGATTGCTTATTGTCCCCTATGACTATCATTAAGTGTGGTACCTTATGACTCTTGACGAATGTATCTTTCCTTTTATGTACACTGAGAGCATTTACACCAAGACAAATTCCTTGTGTGTCTGATCACACTTGGCTGATAAAGAATTCTATTCTGTTCTAACCCCTCCCTTTGCTGTACTGGGGAAGAAAAAAAAACCCAATACTGTCGAAAGACTCTTTAAATTCAGCTTCTTGTGTCAGCACCATGATTCTCATGGAAGTTTCCTCCTTTGGGCCAGTTCTGAGCACCACCAATCAAGAAATGCTGGCTAAGATGCTCATCAGCTTTGCCCACAGCACAATCCTGAGGGTGCTGCATTGGTTGCCGATTTGCTTCTGGGTGCAATTCAAAATGCTAGTTGTCACACTTCATAGCTCGGGACCAGGTTATCTGAGGGACTGTCTCTTGCCGGTCACATCTACTCAGCCCACTAGAGCGATGAGACAGGGAATGTTGCGGGTCCTATCTCCTAAGGAGATATACCTGGTGGGACCAGAACCTTCTTCGTGGTGGCTCCGTCTCTCTGGAATATCATTCCTCCAGAGATTTGAATGGCCCCCACTCTAACTCTCTTCCGGAAGGCACCGAAGACCTGGTTCTGTCAGTGGGCCTGGGGAACCCAGAGCGGGATGGAGCCCATTAAATGGCTTGTATATTATTGCTGGGATGGGGGGTTTAATTTTATTAAAAATTTCATAAAATTAAATTTTATTAATTTATTATTTGATTATTTTCTTCTATTATTTTTTTATATATATGCTGTTTTTATATTCGTGCAAGCCACTTTGAGTCGCCTTATGCAGATAGGCAGCAATATAAATTTTCCAAATAAATAAATAAAATTTCCAAATAAATAAATAGATAAATAGATAAATAAATAAATAAATTTTGTCCCTTCTTCTGTCCTCTGCTGGGCCAGAAGGAAAATACAGGTAGTCCTTGACTTAACAACAGTTCATTTAGTGACCGTTCAAAGTTTCAACAGCACTGAAAAAAAGTGACTTATGACTGTTTTTCACAGTTGTGACCTTTGAAGCATCCCCGTGATCCTGTGATCAAAATTCAGATGGTTGGCAATGGGTTCATACTTCATGACCATTGCTGGGTCCCAAGGCCACGTAGTTCCCCTTTTACAACCCTCTGACAAGCAAAGTCAATGGGAAACCCGAGCGAACCCATAGCAACCCACCCCTGATCCTGTCCTTCTGCTCAGGTCCTCTTTCCCTGCCATGTTGCTTTCATCTTGCTCTCTAAAACAGAGGTCTCCAACCTTGGCAACTATAAGACTTGTAGACTTCAACTCCCAGAATTCCTCAGCCATCTGGAAGTTGGAGACCCCTGCTCTAAAGAGCTGGGCAGGCCTGCCTAATTGTCCTGCTGAGGGAAACAAAATGACATACTGTAGATGTAGGTTTGTTCCCAGGGGTCACACCAGACTTAAAGGTGACTTCAGGTTACTCCTGGATGCCTTCTTAAAGGAGGCCACAGGCACAACACAGTAGATAAAATCATTAACACATGATGGTAGAGCTGGATCCACGGGGTGGGTGAGGAAGTGGGATTAGGTTTTGATAAGGCAACCACCTCCAATGTGAAGCTCCCCCATTGGGTCCCCAAACCATCTGGCAGAACCAGGTCTAAAGTTTCTTACGGAAAAATAGGAGGGTGGGACCCCATCTCAGCTCAGGCGGTTGGATGTTCCAGAGGGCAGGAACCCTGTCATGTCCTTGGCTTTCAATAGATCAATGATTAATGGTAAATACATGGTACAATATTGCAAGTCCCTGCTGTTTTCTTGGCAAGGTTTTTCAGAAGTGGCCAGTCTCCAAGGTCTGAGCAAGAGGACCTGATCCTTGGTCACTCAGCTGGCTTTGTGCCCGGGGCAGGTTTGGAATTCACGTTCTCTCAGTTTCTAATCTGATGTCTTAACCACTACACCAGATTGGCTCCTTGGGTATTGAAGGGAAGGAAAATAGCATTGAGAGAGAAGTGGCTGGCAGAGGATTGAACGAATAACTGTGCTGCAACTTAAATATATTGGCAATATTTTAGCAAAGAACAGGGTTATATGTGTGATTATGTGTATGGAGAAGAAAGGAGGGGAGGAAGGAGGGAGGGAGGAAGGAAATCAGTTGGCTGCTGAAAGTTTGAAAATACAGCATTATAGTGTATTTTTAAAACCTCTGGCAGATTGATTCTATGCTGAGAGGGCAGAATAAATGGAATTCAAGTGCCTCTCCCTTGTTACACCATTTATACATTACAACTGATTAAAGTAGCCTAAGCCTTTCTAATTTGACTAAGGATTATTAAGAAGGTGGATTTCACCTTAACATAGAAGGATTTTTATCTAAAGACACTGACAAACCTCCAAGTGGCCTCAGTGACTCTCTAAAAGAATGCAAATGACCAGCTGTCTGCAAGGAATATAAATCCTGCCATTTTCCACCATCCAGTCGGAGCTGAAGGAGGTCCTTGGATGAGAAGTGAAATGTCTTCAAAGTAAAACAAGAAAGTCCAGTTGCCTGTTGGAAAAGCACCTTTGGAATTCTGCCATTGTTGACTGGGATGTATGTGTGTGTTATTCAGAACATTCAGTTATACCAGAGGTGTCCAAACTTGACAACTTAAGAATTGTGAACTTCAACTCCCTATAACTACATTCAACTATAGCTATGCTGGCTGAGAATTCTGGGAGTTTCACAAGTTTTAAAGTTGTCAAGTTTGGAGACCTCTGAATTATACATTGAATGAA